GTCCATCTGTCTGTATTTGGCTTAATGCATAGCTGCATTTTGGTATTTATGCACAATTTGGTGTCATCAGCCTTTCAAACAAATGACAGTAGTTGGGATCATAAGAAAGCCTTGATTTGCTGTTTACTGTTGATTTGTAACGATAGACTTGGAGAGAGGCGTCTCAACGTGATGTCATGCTGGGACTGTGAGGTTGCTTCTGAATTGTGGTTTTATTCGGATTTTATTTGTCTATTTAGATGTCCACGAGGCTGCCTCATGTATTGGTCTTCATTGCTGTCATTTGTGCCAGCAGCGCCCAACAAGGTAAGCCTTCCAACTGCCCCTATGTCCCTATGTTAGTCGTTAGCCTCTCCACCACACAGTACAATGTAAAACTGCTGTCTGTTGGGCCTTTGCTACAGTAAGGTCCTGGAGTCAGACCCCCATGGTCAGGCACATGGCAGAGAGGCTTCCTGGGTTAGCATGGGTGGGAGGCTCATACAGTAATGACATCATATCCTGCGGAGGTTCCCCCCTTAGGCGATGGGGCCCATTTCGGTTCCGGTCTCCCCGGTGGTACAGCTTTATTGGTGAGCTTTAGTGTCCCCGGTGTAGCTTACCAAACCCCTCCCCCCCCCTCTGGCTCTCCTCTTTCCCTCAGAGGGAAGCAAGTGTGTCCACGCTGACGCCAAGTCCTGTGGGGAGTGTATACAGACGGGGGAGAACTGCGCCTGGTGCTCAGACCCTGTGAGAATGCCGCCCTGCTCCCTCTCTCCCTCTATTCATCCCTCCTTCTCTCCTTCCCTCTGTCCTGCCTCCCTTTCTCTGTCCCACTTTCCTTCTCTGTGCGCCTAGACTACTGTAACATCGCAGCTCAATTGCAGTGCATTGTGATCAAATTTAGCATTTTAATGGATAGATAGATGGATGGATGGATGGATGGAGGGATGGATGGATGGAAACAACACAGTGGTTATAAAAAGTGTACACAACCCTGTTAAAATGCCCGCTCTTTGTGAAGAAAAAATAATTTCAAGACTTTTCCCACCTTTAATGTGACCTATAACCTGTACAATTCAATTCAAACAAACAAATCTGTCAGAGGGAAATGATAAAGAATACGAAATGCACAATAAGCTTGTTGCATAAGTGTGCACACCCTTAATCTAATGCTTTGTTGCAGCACCTTTTGATTCAACTACTACATTCAGTCTTTTTGGGTAGGAGTCTATCAACATGCCACATCTAGACTTGGCAATATTTGCCCGCTCTTCCTTGCATAAGTGCTCCAAATCTGTCAGATCGCGAGGGCCTCTCCTGTGCACAGCCTTCTTCAGGTCACCCAACAGATTTTCAGTTGTATTTCGGTCTGGGCTCTGGCTGGGCCATTCCAAAGCTTTCATTTTCTTCGGGTGAAGCCATTCTTATGTTGATTTGGATGTACGCTTTGGATGTAAAGTTTTGAAATCTTTATTTATCGTGGTCTCATTTTTTTTTACATCGTAAAAACCTGCCATTTTATCAGTGGTGTGCACACATTTTATATCCAGTGTAGATCTCAGTATTCTTTTTAATATTATGTCACACTCTCGAGTAATGCGGAAATCTTTAAACAGGCCGAATTCTGAGGTCTGGTTCTGGCAGCGCCAGTTCATTCATCTCCCCTTCCTCAGAACTTCCTGAAGCAGGGAGAGCCAACCTCGTCCCGGTGCGATGAGCTGGAGGTCCTGAAGAGGAAAAACTGCTCAGCAGCCATGATTGAGAACCCACGGGGCAGCCAGAAGACTGAGGTGAACAAGCCTGTCACCAACCGCCACAAGAGCAGGACAGCGTGGCCGAGACCTGAGGAGATAACACAGATCCAGCCGCAGAAGCTCTCCATGGAGCTGAGGATCGGTATGGACCATCTCCACAACTAACCCTCAGCAGTCCTAATGGATTCAGACTAATCTGGGTCAATTTTCTGTAGTCCAGAGGTCTCCAACTCCGGTCCTGGAGAGCTACTATCCAGTAGGTTTTCTGTCCCACTTGGCTTCTGATGAGCCACACCTGCTCCTGGTATTTACCTGAGAACAGGTGTGGCTCATCAGAAGCCAGGTAGGATAGAAAACCTACTGGACGACAGCTCTCCAGGACCGGAGTTGGAGACCCCTGCTCTAGTCAGTATGTTCATCAAGACAGCATTATGGCTGCATATAAAAATATAGTCATCGTATGATGATGTTACTAAAAAAATACGCTAAAGAACTCAACAGAATTGTAAATGATCATATTTTCATAAGGATTGCTTGGTTCTTATATTCATATCGAAAAGTGAATCGTGATTATTCTCAGAAATTTGTTCAAACGTCACTGATATAGTCCAGGTGTCAGATGTTAGAAGATGCTCCCTGTTAACTGTCGTGGTTGCTTGGTGTGTCAATCCCTGCCCTCTCAGGGGAACCTCAGTCCTTTGATTTGACCTTCAAGCGAGCCGATGACTACCCCATTGACCTCTACTACCTCATGGACCTCTCTTACTCCATGAACGATGACCTGCAAAATGTCAAGAAGCTGGGGACTGCCCTCATGGAAGAGATGAAGAACATCACCTCGGATTTCCGAATCGGTGAGCTTTCCTGCCAGGTCCAGATCCTCTTGTCTTCTTAGACTGGAGTTTGCTTTGCAGGGTTAGGGTTAGGGTTAGGGTTAGGGTTAGGGTTATTTATCCCTGCATCTGGTTGATGAGGTGAGGAATGATTTCGAAACATATCTGAGCGTCGCAAATAATTCTATCCCCGCTGAAAAGTACAATACTGTGAAATGTCTTTTGTTGCATTTCTGTGGTCGGGTCTTCAATCAAAGCTGACCATTATGTATAAAAAAAAACAATGACAAACTCCCTGGTCTGTCTGCTACCTCAATGTTCCATCAAAAACTTTTCAAAAGAATGTTGTTCCAGAATTCAAGTCTGAGTCTGGCAAACGTCAGGCAAGCGAGTGACAATTCCACATTCCGGAGTGCTATCATAGAGTCCTTTGCCACTGTGTGGATGATGTCACAATGCTTTCTAATAGATTTTGGCAGTACAGGGACTGCTGGGGAAGATTCATTACTGTTCCATACTTCCCCCATTCCAGCCGTTTGGATCCGACGGCTTTTTGGGATCCCCAAAGCCTTAGAACCTTTTTTCGCGACCCTTTCCAGTTTAATAAGAATCACCAGCTTCTTTCCTGGAGATTTCTTGGAACGTTCTTTTACTATTGGCATGATATGCCTTGAGAATCTGCGTGATGACTGCTCCTCTCTCAAAAGTAATAAGAATGGTACTAAATATAGATGTAGACAGCTGGCATCCCAGTCAGATTCCCCATAGTGTTTCCTGAGTAAACTTCAGGCTCTGGGCGACCCTGCACTGGGTAAACACTATGGAAGATGAACGAATGGGTGAATAGATGGATGCTGACATTGGGGCACCAACACTTACAGCAATCAGGCTGATAGAAGATCGCTGCACTGCTGTCTGTCCGTTGCATTGCTTTACTTGCTATTCTAAGCGAGAAATCGACTGTATGCTTCCCGGTGAACATTCGGCCAACTTTCACATAAATGTAGCATCTCATACCACCAAAGATTCATGCGTAACTGAGAACAGGAGGCCGCTTTCCATCACAGCGAATGTCACGATAAAGAGAGCAAAGTGCCTCAATGGACTCATACCTTCTGGTTTGTTGTTTGAATCCTACCCCCAGTTCTGTGTGTGTGTGTGTGGGGGGGGGGGTATAGTGATCATTATATTACATTGTGGGCTGGGGTGCAGGAGGATTTTTGAAGGGAAGGTACCAAACAGTGAGCAAAAAGTCTCAAC